CAGGTATTATTTTTAAAAACTAATAGAAATAAATTTTGAATATCTTATCTTTTTTATGAAGGTTATATAAAAATTGAGATATAATCAAAATGCAAAAGGATTTTTAGAAATAAAATGAAGCCAAAAAATTTATTGCTTGTACATTCTTTTTGATGTTTGTCAGCATAATTTTTTTAATAAAAAGTCATAAAACTGAGCAACCTTGCAAGTCATTACATCTCTGATACCTATTTTAAAATTCACAATACTTGAAGTAATCTTTTTGTGACATACAAATCCTGAGTCCTTTTAATACTCCGCATCCCTACTTGGATCATGGTTTTACTTAGATAACCTTAACACAAACATCAAGGTTTTGAATAAGCTAATACCTTATATCAGATTACAAAACCTCATACAAAGTATATCTGATACCTTATCAGATATTTATCAACTTAGAAAAACAACTTTACTAATTGTTTTGGTTTTTGAACATGCAACATATAAATGGATATTAATGAATATAAATGAGAGAAACACAGTTTTTTAAGATATACACCAACATTTGTATAAAAAATTAATAATATAAAACATTTATATCTGTAAAAATAGAAAACTTGTGAACACTTTAGTTCATTACTTATTTAATGTAACAAATAGCTGTTTGAATATACTAATTATAATTCCTAAATTACTTTTTTGTAGCTGTTTATACATTTTATTCACAGTAGTACCAGTCTTTGCATTACTAGAGGTCTTTCAATAATAACACCGTTGTAATCAATAATAAACTTGTTTATTAACTTAATAATAACTTAATAATAAGCTAATAATATGTAACCAAGTAAAATATTTATCCTTCATAAAAATATTTAATGAAGTTACAATACAAGTATACAAAAAAAAATAAATGCAGAATAAAATCCAGACAAATTTAAAATTCACAAATATGGAGTAAAACAGAAAACAAAAATATAAAAGTAAAAATAATAACTAATATAAACGATAAAAAGATAAAACTTGGAACTTCAAAAACTTTCAAGCATTTCTTTTTTCATCTCAAAGCCTGCTTACCTCAGCCAAATAAAATAAAAAGTAATATTCAGTGTGTTTAAATATTCTAATAACACAATAATGTAAAATAAACATAAACTTACTTCATAAAATGTTCTGAATGTATTTCTCGATTAAACATGGATTAAACACTGATGTGTAGCCTGTCACACGTTGCAAGTTAAGATATTTGTAAACATTTTTTTATGCTGTTTTATTTATATATATATATATATATATATATATATATATATATATATATATATATATATATATATATATATTTATACCTAATAATAAATATTATTTTTATAAAATATATTTTTTCAAATATAAAATTAAAAACTTTTTTTTTAATTTTAAGCAACAAATAAATAAAAATTGTATAACATTTACATTTAACATTCAAGATAAAGTCTTAAAAAATAGTATGTTTTTTAATCAAATAATAAAAAAATATTTTTTAAAAATGGCTGCCAGTTTACTGAAAATTAGTTAAAAAGTCACATAGAAACATCAGAGATAAACTCATACTTATCTTTTACTTCATTTATAAAAAAATTCCACAAATGGTCCTTAGTGTGTTAGGTCCATATTTAGTTAGAGATTTTAAAGTTAATTCATTATTTTAGGTTTTAAGACTTTTTGAAAATCAAAAATGTCAATTTTTACAAGAAAAAATAAGATATCTCAAGATATATTCATTAACTTTCAAAATCTCTAGCTAAAAAGAAAGATATTAATGTAAGTATCAAATGTAAATGTATTTCAATATGTATTTCAAATGTAAAACTGTGTGTATAGAAGAGTTAACATAGTAGTTTATCGAGCATCTTTTTGTAGACTTGTTTATTATGATTAAAATAATACGAAGATTGTGTAAAAATACATATATTCTTTTATGAACAATAAATACAACTCCTATTTCAACATATTAACACATTAAAACATTCAACTTCAGACCAATTAAGCCATGATCCTTGGTTACTTAACTGCATATTTTAGTTTGGACTGAACCAAACGTGAAAATATTCCAGTCTACACGACATTTAGTTTTAATAGACGCGCGAACAATTCGCGCTGAAAGATTTTGGGACAAAAATTAACGCCGTGATTGGGTAATTTTTGATTTAAAAAAGTAAATTAAAAAAATATATATTATTGATAGAATGTGAGAATTTAAAAATTATCAATACACTCGCGCTAATTTCATTTAAGCCGTTTGCATACAAAACATTTATATTTTAAAACATTTTCAGTAACTTAAAAGGAAAAAAAGTCAAATTAGTCCCTCGCTAGAAATATATATATATATATATATATATATATATATATATATATATATATATATATATATATATATACAGGGTGGCCCATAAATCACTTTACATTTTAAAAATTAAGTAACTTTTTCTTAAACGTCTGTATTTAATTAATTTTTTTTTTATTACAAAGTTTAGTGTCTGTAAGTTAGTTCTGACTTAGTTACGAAAGATAATGTCTCTTAAATAGCCTCCATTCTCGTCTTCACAATGTCGAGCTCTTTTTAAGCTACTCTCCATGACACTACTTAACATCTGAGGTTGTAGGGAAAGAATTTCCTGTCGTATGTTTGCCTTAAGATCTTGAATAGTTCGGGGCTTATTTGCATACACTTTGTCTTTAAGATATCCCTAAAGCCAAAAGTCTGGTGCTGTCAAATCAGGAGAACGTGGAGGCCATTCAAAATCGGATTTAAGAGAGATTATCCAATCCTAAAACATTGCAGTTGACAAGTGCATTGTAGCTCTAGCGGTATGTGCAGTTGCTCCATCATGTTACCACCAATACCCTGCCATGTTTGCTAACTGAGGTTGAACAAAATTCGTTAGCACGTCTCGATATTTCTCAGCAGTTACAGTCGCAGCATTTTCATTTACATCTTTAAAGAAGAAGGCCCCAATAACCCTTTCTGATGTTACTCCACACCATGTTGTGACTTTACCCGAGTGTAATAGACTCGCATGAACTTGGTGTGGATTTTCGGTGCCCCAGAATCTGATATTCTGCTTATTCACATGTCCATTCAAATGGAAATGAGCTTCATCTCCCATTATTAACTTGTGAATAAATTCATTGTCGTTTCTTGCAGTTCTCTGAAACCTGACAGCATAATTTAGTCGTTTCTGAAAGTCTGGTGGTTGTAAAGATTAAACTAATTAAATCTTGTAAGGGTATATCTGTAAGTCTCTTTAAATGCGCTGCAGAGAACTCCGTGAGATACCAAGTTCTTGAGAAGGCCTTCGAGTGGATGTGGTTGGGTTCTCTTCAATGCTACGGCTCGCAGCTTCAGTATTTTCACGTGTACGTGCTGAACGACCTCGTCCACTTCTAGTCCTATCACTTACAGAGCCATGCTCTTGAAAACGCGTCACTAAGTTCATTATTGCAGGTCTACTAGGGGGATGTTAAAAATTAAAATGTGGCATAAACAATCTTTGCGTTGCAACAATTGACCGTCCATTTTCAAAGTAAAATTCAATTATCTTCACTCGTTGTTCAGTCGTAAACTTATCCATTCCAAATATTTCCAAAGATTTTATTTTTTTAATTCTGAAAAGAGAAATAGAAATAAATTAATAGAAAAAAAGTTATTTAATTTATAAAATGTAAAGTGACTTATGGGCCACCCTGTATATATATATATATATATATATATATATATATATATATATATATATATATATATATATATATATATATATATATATATATATATATATATATATATATATATATATATATATATATATATATAAATACACACACACATACACACACACACACACACACACTCATATGCATATATATAAATTAAGCGTTAAACGCCGTGTTTAGTTTAAAGTTTCATTACTTTATTTCATTATTTTATTTCAACCATTTTTATGTTTCCCTTTGACATAATTCTTTTAAAAAATTAACTCAGATTCTTTGAAAAATCTCTTTATACAAACGTATTAACTATTCGTATGTTAGATTTATTTAACAGGTTAATAAGAATTTTTTTTTTAGTATTTTAGGAACGTCGGACTTCATAAACTGCGCCACGCGTATTTTTATTTTAATTTATCCCGTTTCTTAGGCAAAAAAAAAACTTAAAAGATAATGCTGGAATCAAAATCGCGTGAAAAATTATGTAAAAATATAAAATTCATCATCTTCATTGGTTTCATCATGGAAGTATTAGAGATGGAAGTGCAACGCTATTGAAATGTCTAAAACTATGCGTGAAATCCTTTGTTCTTAATACAAAGAAAGTCGTAACAAATTACGTCGTCGTCGGACGGCATTTCTGCTGTGTGTAAATACGAAACTCGCTAACTCATCTATAAATTCTTTATAGAACTTTCAGATTTACATAGCTAATTTTTGATTGTGTGTTGTTAAGAAAAATTAAAATATTAATTATATTATATTATATTATTATATATAAAAATAAGTAAAAACATATAGTATATATATATATATATATATATATATATATATATATATATATATATATATATATATATATATATATATATATATATATATATATATATATATATATACATATATATTTATATATATATATATATATATATATATATATATATATATATATATAAAATATATGTATACATATATTTATAATATATATGTATACATAATATGTATACAAATATATTATAAATATATGTATATATTATAAATATATGTAACATATATTTTTATATATATATGTATACACACACACATATATATATATATATAAAATATATATATATATATATATATATATATATATATATATATATATATATATATATATATATATATATATATATATATATATATATATAACTTGTATTTAATTGTATCGCTTATAACTATATAAGCATTACAAATTAATTATTAAATAATTTAGTTTGATGTTTGTATTTCATTATAGATTAAATAAACATGTCGTGTGAAGCAAATGATGTTCTTTCTATTTTGGATGTTGATTGCTTTCAAAGTGATGAAATAAATATTTTAATGGAGGATTTTAAAACCGAATTAATTATTAATGAAGACAATTTTGATATCTCAACCTTTGATGAGGAAATATTTCTTCTTCCAGAGTTTGAAGAGCTTGACATAAAAAAAAAAAGTTCTGAATTGATGAGATGTGAAAAATGTAAAAAACATTACAATACCAAAAAATATTATGATAATCACATCCTAAAATGTGTTGAAATCCATTCAACTAAATCATTTTCAAAAGGAAAAGCAAGCTCTAAAAGTAAGTTTTTAAAGTTAGTGTACCCAAAGTCTGTTTTGTATTAATATGGTTATGAAAAATTAAATTTTAATTGCTTTTTAAACACTTTGAAATTTAGATATTCTCAATGATGATGTGCAAATAAAGCTTTCAGAGAATTTCTCTGTGTACTTTTGGGAATCAATAAACGAAGCTTTTAAAGATGAATTTTTCAACATGTCAGACAAAGATTTTGTTACTTCTGGCAATATTTCTGTCATGGTTGCTTCTAAACTGCTATTTCACAAAAATGAAATTGAAAAATCAGTTGAACATTTTAATAGACTTCTATCCATTGATATGTTTGCAATATTAAACACATCAAGTAATACTCCTTGTTTTCGTAATAGTATATGTCAAATGGTCAATAAAATGAGATTGTCAGCTAATTTGAAGACTGAATGGAATACAATTTTAAAGTTAATAAATATTGAAGTTATTGAGATCCATATTGATATGTTAAGAGTATATGTGATAAACAAAATATATGAAAAATGCTTACTATGGAGAAATAGTGAACTCTTTGTAACAGATGAAAAAATGTTAGAACTAAAATTATCTTTAAAAGAGGAAAAAGTGCTAATGTATGTTTCTGGATATATTATTTTTTTCTTGCTAAAAAAATACAAAAGAAATAAATCACCATCATCTTTAATAATCTGTTCTGTTATAAATTCTTGGCAGTTGTCAAGCAACATTTCTGATGAAGTTTTATTGAATAGTACAAGATCGTGGATCGACAGAGTAGATCGAGGAGCATTAATGCATGTGAATGACGAGTTTTATTTGTTTATATGCCATATTGAAAACATTGCAAGATCCATACTAAATAGAAACTTACTAGTGAACTATAACGGGCAGGATCTTAGAGATGTTTTAATGTCAAATTTCCAAAAAAATGCCCAGTTAGATCTTTCTTGGTCATCACTGACTCGAAATCTTGAAAATTTAGAATTATCTCAACTGTTAAAGTTAACTATCTTAAAAAAGTGGATATCTATGCGTGCTCGTTCCTTCTTAACAGCTTGGATTAATGTGGTAAAGCATATAAATAAAGGTGACATTTCAAGTCAAGGCGAACCAGGACTAAGAAAAACTCTTTTTGTAAAAAGAAAATTTCCTTCAGATAAATAATAAAAAGGAACAAACTACAAACTTTTGTTTGTTTACTATGTTTTCCAAAAAATGCTGATTAGAGTCTGGAAACAAAAATACTAACAAAAGTAGGCATCACCTGAGGCGGAACTAAAAACCGCCTAAATTGGGCGGAAATATCTTCAAGGTTCTAAAAATTATTTTTTTTCATTTAATAATATTGTTTTGTTTACAGATTATACCCAATTTAAATATATATCCCCATCCTTGTGAAGGGGTTCTAAACTGTAAATGGTTATAATGAAATTTCAAATGCATATACAAATTTCATTCTTATTAAAAGAAGTAAATTTTCTTTTTGGAAAAACTAATTCCCCTCACATTATAATGTGAGTGATGCCTACTTTTTATGGTATTTTTGTTTACATGCTCTAATCAGTATCATTTTCTGAAAAATTTGGAGTTTATAACTTAGCTGGAAGTTATTTAACTCAAACACCAAAAATTCCACTCCTGAAGGTGAATATTTAAAATATTTTTTATGAATTATAGTTTTTTTTAGTTATCAGCAATAAAGTAAAGACCAAAATATTTTCTTGATTATTAGCTTCATTTTTTATTTATACTTTTATTATATTATATATATTATAAATTGTTGGAATCTTAAAAATTATTCAAAAAAATTAATAATTATCGTTATTTAGTGTTATTTAGTTACATTATAATTTAATTAATGATTTTCTAACAGTAGTTTTTTTTATGGATTTTGACTCACTGTGCGGCGTGACGGCTCTCGGCGCTCCTGATATAAAGTACCCATTGAATAATCAAGTTTTTGGCCTAAGTTAAGGGGCATCTATAAAGTATGCACACATAACAGCCACTGATTTTGGAGCCCTTCCCCCTTGTCGAGTAATGTTTTTAACAAAATCTAGAGCCATCTTATCTCACTTTTTTTCTGTTTTTGATTAAAAGACGGGCAGTTTAAAAGGGCATCAAAAGATGAACAGACAGGTAAGAGAGGGAATAGGGAATTTGCCTTGCCATTTGTTAAAAAGAAAGAATTTTTTACAAAATTTATGAAAAAGATAATCTAATGGGCCATCCATAAAGGTCGTGTGGGGTGGACTTCGATATAAAAAAAAGGGAGGGGTTTATTAGTATATGACGTCACCGATTTTTTATGTAAACTTTTTTTTATGAAGTTATCTATGGAAATAGTGTCAAACATGAAGTTCTATAAAGTTATTTATGGAAATAGTGTCGAACATGATTTTTTTCTACTGGAACTCTCATTTGCACATTCAGTGTCCATGTCAAAAGATGGATAAAAATAATCTTTTAAATTCGCTCATTAAGTCTTATAATAACATTCGAATAAGAAAAAAGCCGATTATCATTTAATATTTAAATTTTATTGAAAAAAAAAGTCTCAACTTTATGATATCCTTTTCAAGAGGGAGCCAGGGTAGCGGAACAGTAGGGGCTAAACCCCCTCACTTTTTAAAAGTGTTAGAGGGGCTAAATTACCTTTTGGTAATTTAGCCCCTCCCCCAGTTTTTAAGTCTACTCTTTCAAAATGTTTAATCTCGATAGTAGCATACGACGTCAAATGCAAGCAAAGATGATAAAACCAAGAGAAACCACTGCAAAATTAATCTTATTTTTAAATTATAGCAGTTACATATCTTCAAGTGCTGTGTTTCCATTTAGCAACATTTTACCCTATAGGTTTAAAAAAATATTGAAGCGATTAAAATTAGTTTAATAAAATTTAAATTTATTTTTAGTATAAGGTTAAGAGTAAGAAGTTTTATTTAGTATAAGAAAAAAGCCCTTTATGGACAGTCCCCTAACCGCTTACGTACTTGCTGCCTTTAAACCTTCTTACTCCTTAAGCATAATTTATAAACCAACCTTTAAGCTATAAGATATAACCTTTGAAACTCCAAACATTTATATGTTTTATACTTTAATTAAATTTAAATTAAATTAAAGTTAAATAAGGATGCTTTTCAAAAAATTGCAACGAATGGAGTCCGGGAACAAAAATGCCCCCCAAAATTACCCCCTCTATACCAAATGTGAGGGCAACGAGTAAGCAAAATATTTTTTTTACTATTCTTAAATAATCTCATATTCATCAAAAAAATTTCAATTTCAATAAACACTTAGCGTTCAAAAATTATTTCCATATAATGTCTGAATTCCATTCAATTTGAGGGGGTTACAAAACTTACTCAAAAAGTTTATATATATATATATATATATATATATATATATATATATATATATATATATATATATATATATATATATATATATATATATATATATATATATATATATATAAATATATATATATATATATATATATATACATATATATATATATATATATATATATATATATATATATATATATATATATATATATATATATATATATATATATATATATATATATATATATATATATATATATATATATATATATATATAAACACAAACACACACTGGTAGATAGAGTGGAAAAACAAGAATCAAATTATTTAAAACGCAATTAAAAAAAAAGAAATGAAATAACATGTAACTGTTTTTAAATAAATAAAATCAATATTTTTTCGGCTTTTTCTTCGGCAGATGCATGGTGTCAGTAACATCAATTTTTAGATCTTCCTGAAATCTTCCTCTATAATTTCCATTTAAGGCTCGAATGAGATTGTCGCCAGCAATATTTAAACCTAGAAAGTTACGATTAAATTCTTCTAAACAAGGATTTTCGTTTCCTCCCCCTCTTCTTCGCTGCTTGGAAAAGTATTCCTCTACAGGATCTTGACTGAACTTTTCTGAAAGTAAGTACTCTACACCTTCTTCTTGTAAAAGAGTTGAACCAAGTTCAGTAAATGAGTGCACTATTCCAAAAATTTAAATTTAATGAAATCAACTTTATCAATCAAGTAATAGAAGTACAAGTTTATGCTTTGTTCATATTAATCAATTTTTACCTGTAATTCTGAACCCTTCTAGGGTTTGTTTACTCAAGCAAAGTTTGGCTTTTTCTTTTATCGATAAATTTTTAACATTTTGACTGGCTTGTTCCCATTCATTTAAAAATTTAATAAACGTTTGATTCAACCACTATTAAAGAAATAATATATTCGCTATAATTATTTGTTAATAATATTAATAATAATAATAATAATAAACAGGGTTTATAATTTTAAAAACTTGTCCCCTAGTTTTCCCTGAGAAAAAACCTTTTCCCTTGAGTTTAGCTTTTTAAATTTCCTGACTTTTCCGAGAATTTTCCATGCTCTTTCTAGTTAATTCACAAGAATATTATTTTCCTTATTTAAACACAATTTTAATGACAAAATAAAAGTTTTACAACAACCCCTACACCTTGCAAATTTCTTATTATAAGTACTGACAAGCTATTGAGAGTGGCAACCCTGAATAATTAATAACATAATATTAATATAAATTGTTTTTATTATTGCCAAAAAATTGTCCCAAAAAATAAAAATATTAATAATACTTGAAAAAAAAAACACTTTATGAATATCTGAAAAGTATTAACTAATACATTTTTTTAGTAAAACTAAAGTTTATACTTTTCAATTGAAAGCTGTTAATTATGTGTATTAAGGTTAGAATATGTATAATATTAAATATATATTATAGTAGAGGTTAAAAGTAATATTAATATTAAAATAAAAAATATAATAAACATATAAGTAAATCTAAAATAACGTATTTTAATGAAGTGCATTTAACTAAAGACGCCATTTTGCATAAAACAGTAAACAATTTAAATAAAAAATCTTCAATATTGAAATATTGTACCTCAAATCTTTTATCCAAATGAGTTTTGTAAACATCTAAAGCCGGTTTTCTAGTTTTATTAAATTGCCTTGAAACATTAAGGCAATCAAAGAAGGTATCAATTAAATTTATAAATTTTTGTAAACATCTTGTTTCAGCTTTACCCTGCTCCTCCAACATATGTACAACAGTTTGACTTAACACCTTAAGTATAAATATATCATTTAAATGTTAAAAAGTATTATACTAATTTTAAAATTTATCTTTATGCATTCTAACCTGTGCAGCTAAATTGACCCGCATTCTAGATTGTGGAGTTAACTGTATGTGCTCATCTCTGAGTTTGTGTCCCATTCGTAGACCAACAGCATCATGAAACATGCCCAGATCCCATTCATAGACATTCATAATTTGAGGCCATGTTATAAACTGATCCTCAATCTGAAACAATTATATATTTTATACTTATAAATCATATTTTCAAATCACTGTAATAATTATTAGAATTACCATAATGATCTTGAGCATCTTGAGAAATTTTTATTATTAAATACTTTCTTTTTCAAAATTGAAAATAGTTTGCAATCATTACAATGAGGTTTAGGGTGGTTCTAGAAACACCATTTTTTTAAATAGGTGTCCTCCAACCCCTATTTGTGCTCTTAATAATAAAATGACACTGGATTTAATTTTTTTTTGAAAAAAAAATTTTTTAAGGGGATGCTCATTTATTTTTTATAAAAAATAATTAATGTTGTTTTTTATAAAATAAAAATAATAATAATAAAATGTCAAATAATAATATTCATAAGAAATGAATGTTGTTTTTGAAATTTTTATTAAATTTCGATTCTTTTGAGGACATACCAGGTTGATTTTTTTCTCCATAATATTAAGGACCAGTCTGATGTTTAAGGGTCTGATGTTTAAGGGTCCCTTATATTTTTTATTTAAAAAAAAACTTAAATCCAGTGTTATTTTATTATAAAGAACACAATCAGGGGTTGGAGGACACCTATATTAAAAAAAGGTGTTTCTAGAACCACCTTAATGAGGGTCACAATAAAAATTATAATGACCACTGTTAGCACTACAAATCAAACTTACCATTAGATTTCTAGAATTTTGGTTCCAATGAGAGTTCTCCAAATTATTGCGAGTAGTTTTTATCAAATGAGGAACATCACAAAAAAAGTAAAGTTTGCGAGCTAAAAAATATTACTCAAAATTTGTTGTGATTTGTTAAAAATATTTCAGTTTTTTAATTAACAACATATTTTTTTTTCGAACTAAAAGCAACATTTTTACATTGCAAAGTAGTAATTAAAATTATACTTGAACACCAAATATTCCATGTCCAATGCACAGTAGTATCCTTGACGTTTTCATAATTCTCAGCAAGATGAATTCGAAAGAACTTACGATTTGGCGAAGCACCATCTGCTACCATAGAGCGAACTTTAAACCCAATACATTCAAGAATGCGGGTTGCTTCCCAAGCGCAATTAAAAATTTGATCACTATTAAATCCACAAGACGCAAAATGTCCAAATGGATAGCATAGAGATGAAAATATTCCTCTAACCATAAACACAATAACATACTTTGCCAAAGTTGGACTATTTATGCTTTTATTTCCTTCAATTTTGTTTTTAAACTCATCAAGAGCATCATTTAATGATCCCATTTCGGTCAGACCAACTATTTTACCAGTTGTTTTACTGAATACAAGACCACTCTTGATTTTCATCTCGTCAAATACTAAAGAAACATTTTTTTCATGTTCTTTTAAATTTTTAATATCAGCATTCAAAATTAATCGTGAGATAACATCTGCATTAAAGCCACATCCTGGATCTGTAAAATTTATGTATTTTAAAAGAGTGTTTTTACATGGAAGGTACATAAACTCAGACTTAGTTAAATGTTTGTATGTCTCAGGACTTTTTAGGTAAATGCTCAAACACCATCTAATAAGAACTGGGTGCCATTTCATAGACCTCTTATCTTTACGTGAAACCTGAATCTTTTGTTGTTCCCACAATAAATATTGGGGGGAACTTTCACTGAAAGGGTTGTAATTTTTGTCTATCAAGCATTCTTTCATAACTTTGTGTGTCTCGCCATCAACAATTAGTCCTTCTTTTTTTATCAGTTGATTAATTCTACACTGGAGGTGCAAAGATTTGGTCGCTATTTTTTTTTTATCATTTTCCAAGATCTTTATTTTAAACAGTAGTTCTTCTTTGGACATATATCGGTCGTTTTTCTTATTTGAAAACATTGAATTATTTCCACTATCCAAAGCAATTTTGTTCTGCTTTTCTTTTAGACGAAATTGTTTTAAATTTAAATATTTTCTTAATTCCAAACAAAACTCACATTTTGATATAGTTAATGGAATTAAAATAGGACACAACTTGTGCCTAAAAACTGTGCAATCAGTAACTGATTCCATATATGGAGTCTCTATTTTAAAGTTTTTTTCAGAAACGAAAGAAGAAAGGTCATTTTTTACCAAATCTTTTTATATTCACAGTTTGCATTGCAGACATTGGATTGAGTTATGAGGCTGAAGATTAGATTAGAAGTTTCTACTTTCAAAAGCTTGGGAAGATTGTTTAGAAGACTGCAATGAGATTTTGAAACAAATTTTCCATTTATTTTCAGATTCCATTTTTTATCATAAGCTACATTTATTTGTTTAAGGACTGAATTATCAGCAGTTACTGAAAGATGAGAAAATATTTGAAGCGAAGAAGATTCATCGCAATAATACTGAAAACCAAAACTAAATCCAATATCAATCAAATTTGGTATTATTAACTTTTTGTCATTTTCCAAATCGCTTATCGCCGATTTTTTGTCACTAAAACATAAAATGCAATTATCTGAATGAGGAAAAAATTTAAAAGGATCTTTAGTATCAAAGTGGCTTTTGCATTTATTTTTTATATGAAAGCATCTCATATGACAACTGTGACACAAATATATTGGATGAATATCAGTTTGGTCATTATCCACTAAAATATTGTATAGTTTTAAAAGTTGTTCCTTGTAAAAATGAACAGATTTTGGTTCAACATATCCAGCACATTTTTTGATTATTTGACCACATGTTCTACACATTTTTAACAACTTTTTTTTGTGGTATTCCATTTACTCTATATAAAAAATTATTTTATTATTATTGTTAACAATAATAATAATAATATTAACAATAATAACAACAACAAAAATAATGATAATAATATTAATGTTAAGCATTAATTTTCTATACAATTATTTACAAATGAACAAGTTATTTATAAATTTCAAATACATTAAAAGTTTAAGAATATTATTGTTTATTGAATGAATTAGAATTAATAGAAATAAAGCATAAATATTATAATTAAAACATAAGTTTTACACACACACACACACACACACACACACACACACACACACACACACACACACACACACACACACACACACACACATATATATATGTATATATATATGTATATATATGTATATATATATATATACATATATATATATATATATATATATATATAAATATATATATATATATATATATATATATATATATATATATATATATATATATATATATATATATATATAATGTATATATATATATATATGTATATATGTATATATATATATATATATATATATATATATATATATATATATATATATATATATATATATATATATATATTTATGTAAATATATCAATAATATCATATATTTACTATTTCCTAAATTTAAGTTTCATGTTTACAACGTATACAGTAATTAATAACATATAAAGTTATTATTTATCATAAAATATTACACAATTATGAATGCGTATTTATCGAGACAAATAAAATTAAATGGAGCCGTCAAAATTAATAAAAGTTGGGTTTTGAGAGAAACTTTGAGCTTGATGAATGGAGATGAATGGGGATGAATGGAGCTATTATTTATGTTAAAAGGTATTTCTAACATTGAAAAAAAAAATAAATTTTTTTTTATAAAATGGAAACACTTAAATGTAAGTTTTTTAGGTGTGTAACGGAATGTACTTTTGTGCCAACTGCTAACAGCTAAACCATCTTTTTACTAGGAAAAACCAGTCTTTTTACTTACGTTATATAAATAACTTTTTGGCAACACTTTAGCTATCTTCCAAGCCATTTTTTATTAATATAAGCATTAGACGTTTGATTAAATCATCAACATCTTAAAATTCCAATAAATGCTTTGGCGTAAATATTTTGCCATTTTTTCAAAAAGTCGTTTAAAAGTCAAAATTTGAATTTCACGCATAGTTTTTGTGACGGCATTCGGAGCCTTTGATGTTTTATCTCGTTGCACTTCCATCTCTAATACTTCCATGGTTTCATGCTGCAAAAGGAAATTGTGACTCTCCAATAATATTCGGAAAAGTCAAATCACGGTCAAAAACGTTTTCTTCCGTCTAGTTTCCATATTTTGGACCAAAATATAGAAAAATCCTAACCCTGACCAGAACTTCTGGTTCATTTTTGCTTGTTTTTATGCGACAAAATTTTAATACCTTTCTTCAATCCGTAGCTACTTATCTTAATTATAAAAAATAAATAACAAATATTTATTTAACAATAATATAAAAACTAAACAACAAACGTTTTATATCATTATTAAGAAAAAAATATCTTAAAAAACAATGAGCAAATGTTTTTACAGCTGCAATACGGTTTTTACAATGGAAATAATGTACTGAAATAACAAATAAGTAACAAAATTGGGGGAAAAAATTTGTTCTAGTTTTTTGTTGTTCAATAACTAAACTTTCCTGTTTTTCACGCTAAATATTGTTTCAAAGATTAAATTGTTGCATAAAACAATAAGACAAAGTTTGCATAAGACAAAGTTTAACTTTACACGGTTTTTACAATTGAAACTTTAGGAATATATATTTTTGATCTCTTCTAAAAAAAGGTGGTAACTAAGTCAAATCATAAAAGGAGCTTAATAAAGTCATTTCTTCTTCATCATTATCTTTAATATAGCTTTCATCGCATAAGTAATTTTGTTTATCTTCTTTGTCTAATAAAGATGAATTGATATAAAGAAATGCTAACTTTTCCACATTTTCATTTAATAGTCTGTTTCTCCTCTTTCCGTGAATGAAATTATACATGCTCCAAATTCCCTCACTAGAAGCAGAAGATGTCGGAACTGTGAATAACCTGATTGCAATTTTAGATAAATTTGAAAATTTGCTTTTTCCAACAATTGCCCAGTATTGAAAATTTGACATTTTAAAAATTTCTTCTTTGGTACTGTCTGACATAAAAACAAATTGTGTTAAATATTCATTCAACTCAAAAATAGCTAAACTAATTTCTTCTTCTGAATCATAAAATATTGTATAATATTTTTTCAATTGTTTCAAAGTGTCTAATTTATCTGAACCAATCATGTCATCACTAGCATATATTGGTGATAAAACAAAAGCAAATCCCATAGATTCTGTATGGATAAAAGCCCACCTTTCATATAATAACTTGACAATTATTCCCGATTCTAAATCATGTTTTTCAAAATGACAGAGGAGTCTTTTAAAATCATTGTAAATGTTTGCTAAATCATAATTATCACTTTTAAATTTTCCAATTATATTACTTGGAAACTCAAGTATGGTTGATAAGTTTTTGACTTTTTTCCAAAACTCAGAATCAGAAACAATTTTCATAAATGATTTTTTTTTCTCTGATTCTTTAATATTTGACATAATGTGATCCTCAATTAAAAGTTCAATAGTAAATTTAGCATTCATTAATTTTGGTAAACTATTATAATGAGTATACCAACGAGTGTCAACAGGAATCACTAAGGTATTTTGAATTCTATACTGTTTTTTTAATTCATTAAACCTATATGAAAGCAATTGTATTCTTTTAATAAATAAGACAATTTGTAAAGCATATGTCATTGTTTCTTTAAAATAATCCAAAGAAATTATATCTTTTATGAGTAGATTAATAACATGAGCAGCACATCCATTAGCAAAAATTTTAGGAAACTTACATTTGATAATATTCCATGCACTTCTCATTGAACTTGTGTTATCAGTTATAATTGAAACACATTTATCACTTTCTAATTCTTCTACAAACTTTAAAATTTTTTCAGCAATAGATTTCCCTGTTTAAGAAACGCCACTAGTATTTAAAGATTTGAAAAAAAAGGTTGTATTTAAAGATTTAAAAAAAAAGGTTGTTTTCCAGGAATTATGATAACATAGTTTACAAGGTGATCATTTCGTATATTTGACCAACCATCACTTGAAATTGAAAAATAAGGACTTTCGCTTATCATTTTCAAGCCAATATTGTAATAGTTTTCATACTGATTCTTCAAAAGAGTAGTTCTAATACTTTTTTCTGATGGCATATGGTTTTAGCCGGTCCAGTCTCAAAGCATCTATAAAGCCGGTCTCAAAGCATCTATAATGTTTTTAAAAGCTGAAGAGTTTATAACACTAAATGGAATTCCAGTTCGAAAAACAAAATTTGACAATAATTCATCATGTTGCAATTGGTCAGATTTGCTTAAAGTGTCCATTCAATTTATTATGGTAGCATTTTTGTTAAATTCTTTTGGAATATCAGATCCTTCACTTTGTTGACTTACCAAATTAACACCACTATGTTGTTTACTTATACTAACTTTAGTATTTACAGGTTTATCAATAAAAATTTGTTTTTCTTCATCAGTTATACCAGAACAATTAGCTTTTTTATGGCTGCGTAATTTATCAGATGACCAATAAACTTCAATGCCACAGAGAATGTATTTTCCTTATTTAGTAGAAATATTCCTGCTTTTTAGATATTTTTCAATACATATTTTAGTTTTCATCTAAATTAATGTTAAATAACAGTAAAACGTAACTTTTGAACTCAGTGAATTAATATTAATTTAATAGCAACATGATAATGTTATTTATTTAAAGAAATAACCAACACTTTAACACTTTTGTAACAAAAGTGTAAAAAATTCTAAACAAAGTTGTAAAAAACTTTAAAATAAAGTTGTAAAAAACTTATAAACAAAGTTGTAAGCAACAAAATTTATTGTTATATAAAAATTATTTAGCGATAAAAGACTTAATATTTTACTAAAACTTTTTTTGTAAAAATTTTGGATTTTTACTTAAAAACTAAATATATAAAAACTAAATATATATTATATATATTTAGTTTTTATGAATGTATGAGGTGTTTTAAATTAAAGTTTAGTTTATAGCACCTCAGAATGCTCAGCAATTTAACATTTTTATATATTATATAAAAAGGTTAAATTGCTGAGCATTCTGAGGTGCTATAAACAAAATTTTAATTTAAAACACCTCATACATTCAGTTGTAAAGTAAAAATAGAACGATCTTATATCAAAAATACTCTAAAATAAAACACTTACGTTTGATATAAATCATTTATATTAAATGTTTATAATAAAACATTGTAACAATGATATAAAATATAAAAATATGTGATTTTAAGAACATCCAATTAAATAGATTTTTAATATTTAAACGCACTTGCGTTCTATAATAACTGGATAGCGCATCTCTATTATCAAAAATGAAGCCAATTTATTGAACGGCCGCCATATTGGAAAGCCCCAGAATACCGAAAATACAGTGATTGCGCTTTAAGATGTACCTTTTTACTTCGTTTATATCTACTCGACCAAGTCACATATTTCAATGATATTATTATATTTAAAATGTTTGAAGGTGTAAAAATTATAAAAGGGAATCAAAAACACACAAAACATTAACGACGAAGAGAAATATCGCTATAAAGAAATAATAAAATTTGTATTGCTTTCTATGAACTTGTTAAATTTATTGAATTTATGATATTCTAAATAAAACTTTTCTGAAAGACTAGTTGATATTTAATCTGGTTACTTTTGGGTGTTTATTTTAACAACTTGATGCGACCTTACTTAGCAATAGTAGCTGGAAAGTAACTTTACAAGTATAAAACATGATAAAAACATTGTATCAAACATTTTTGTAAATGGTTTTCTAATTTTTGAGACTCTGAGGACATGTTTATATTGTTCCACAACTGATATATCATCAACTATGCAATACTTTATTAAAATTGATATCACTTGATAACAATGTTTTTTTCTGTTGCTTTGCTAACTTTAATTACACTTTGTGAAGGTTTGACAAAGCCATCTCTAACTTTAAAAAATACTAGATATTTGGTGATAACTAGTTATTTTCAGTTTTACATTAAAGTGTTTAGTGTTTTAGACTAAATAACAGTATCGCATACATGTTGATTGTGTATATGTAAATATGGTATAAATGAAAACAGGCATGGTTTCTTTCAAGTTTTTTTAAAACTATCGACTCTAAAGTAAAATAATAATGATTCAGCTAACATCTATCAGTTTTTTACTGATAGATATTAGATGTATAATTAATAAATAATAAAAACATTTCTTGTGAAAACAAATAAGCAACATAAAAGACCAAAATGGAAGGTCAACAATTTTTTTTCTAAGTGACATACTTATTTACTTTTCCCTACCACATAATACCTTTTTATTCAATGTTTGATTTGTTATTCAATGCTTATACAAGTTATTCAATGATTATTTTGTTCAAGATGATAGAGCTAACTATTATTTTACTTATAGTTTTTTACTTTAACATATTCTTTTGTAATTGCAATATCTATAAAAATATTCTGGTGTTGTGAAAATGTCTAATGGCATTTACAAAAATGTCTTGAAAGTATTTTTCGACAATTAAGCGTTAAGTTAATCTCTCTCTCTCTCTCTCTCTATATATATATATATATATATATATATATATATATATATATATATATATATATATATATATATATATATATATATATATATACACACACGCGCGCCAGAACAAAATTATTAAAAGTCAATATAACGATTTGCTATATGTTGCCTAAGGAACCTTTAAGTTGTATTACAATCATATTGCCTAACTAATTCATACAGCAAGTTTGTAAGCTGTTTACCTTGAAAATATGTTACAAGCCTCGGGCATTTTGCAGAGGGCAGTTAAGAACCAAAAGGTGCATACTAATATACACTTGGATGCTATTATAATAATATTATACCAGGGTAGCCAGCCAACTGGAAATCATGAAAAAGTCAGGATCCGTGTGAAAGTAACCGGTAACTAAAATTGAGCTACCGGTAGATTACCGGTAACTTACCGGTCAGTAACATTACCGGTAAGTAACTTGCCAAACCCTAACTCTCCTACATTTCTTCTCAAATTGGTAAAATATCTGGTCTTCGTTTTTAAAAAAAATCAAAACCTCATTTTGAGTCATAGTATCTTTCGCTTACCCTAATTTTTCGCTCCGAAAAGCAAGATATCCGGCCGTGTAATTATAGTAGGCCATGCGTTGTTTCAACGTTATTTCAACGTTGAGAAATGGTTGAAAAATAACGATCTAAATTTCAACGTTAGTTCAACATTAAAAAAAAAAGTTGAAAATTCAACGTTGATTTAACGCTGATTTTCAACTAAAAACAAACGTTAAATTAACGTTGAAAAATAAACGTTAAAATTTAGATACGAGAGTTCGCCGACGCAAATGCAGTAGTAATTCCGAATTAAAATAAAATTTAATATTTCACAAAGATTTGTGCGTGGGAAAGTTCTTTTAATTATTACAGTATTACTGTAATGACCGGGTGAACAAAAATGAGCAATTGCTTTAACTCATTAATTGGTGAGCTGTACGTTAATAAAAACTGCAGCAGTTTTCTCAAATTTTTATTCGCGTAAAGTTAAGCAATTTACTCAATAAATGTTTAGCTTTACGTGAGAAAAACTTAAGCATTAAAGCTGGCAATTACTAAGTAAAAACAATTGCTTATTTTTATTCACCCGGCCTAATGTAATAAAAGTGAAAACATTAAAAGATTTTTTTGCTATGAAAATATGTATAATTTTATTAAAATTTATATGAATTTGGAGTATACACAAACTTTGCATATTTTATATAAAAATGCAAAACTTGTGTATACTACAAATTCATATAAATTTTTATATGAAAATGGATTAAAGACTTTATAATAACACTTTAATTGTATATTTTACATATATTTATAAACATCTTTAAATGGTTTAAATATTCATCTTTAATTTGAAGATAAATATCTAAATCTTTTAAAGATGTTTATATATATATATATATATATATATATATATATATATACATATATATATATATATATATATATATATATATATATATATATATATATATATATATATATATATATATATATATATATATATATATATATATATATATATATATATATATATATATATATATATATATATATATATATATATATATATATATATATATATATATATATATATATATATATATATATATATATATATATATATATATATATATATATATATATATATATATATATATATATATATATATATATGGCTAGCGGTAATTGCCGGCAGTGCCGGCAAATAATTTTATGATTAATTGCCGGCAGCGCGTGTAAAGAAATAATTTGAATGTATTAAATAAAGTGATTTCGTTAGTTTCTTAGTTTTGTTGTTAGAAAAACAATTTAAATTATGTATTTGTTTATTTTATTATATATTTATTTATTTAATTTACTTTTATAACTTTTTTTACGCCAGTATTAAAAAAATTAAGACTTTTTCTGTTAATTATATACTGCCTGCCCAAACCAAAACCTAAAGTCAATCTATCAATCTATGTACAGGTCTAACCCTATCAAAGTCAGTCGGTGGTATGTATATTTTACTTTGCCCATCCCTTTTCAAGTCAGTCTTTAAATTTAGACTTTGCCGCATTTATACCTAAATCAGTCGTAAGCATACACTGTTTCGCCTACGGCTATATCAGTTGTTGTATGTAGACTTTAAGGCACCTACTAAACTTAAATCTAATAAATGGAAATCATCAATAAAAAAAAGTTAACAAACACTAATGATGGGTAATACTAATAAAAATTAGTACTGTTTGAAATAAAACATAAATTTTCACGAAAAAATAAAAACTGTTAGACTTTTTCGAACTCGGGTCGCCACCGTGAACTAAATCTATCATTTCCACTAAGCTACGCAAGCATATTGAAGCTTGCAGTTTTTAACTTTATATTTAAATTATTCTGCCGGCAATTAATCTCAGAATTATTTGCCGGTGTTAGCGGTAAATTCCCAGCAAACATGTAAGCGTTGAATCAACGTTGAAAACCAGTTGCAGGGGCCAATGCTATAAACATAAAAAACGAAGTTTTTCCCGTAAAACACGAAGTTTTTCCCGGAAAAAACAAAGAAAAAAAAAGTCCATTGCTATAAACATTTAAAAGTTTGCGTTTTTAAGATAAAAACTTCGCTATATAATCCAATGTTATAAACGAACAAGGGAATCGCTTTTTCAGATAAAAAATGCGTTTTTTCGAAAAAAAACTTCAGATAGATTTTTGATCTCAATATTAGATATTTCTTCGTGATTTTTAGCGCCATTCTTATAACAACGTAAGCAATTCAGAATCATTTAACATTATTTATTTGTGTTTATATGTGGATATTTTTAGATAAAACTGAAAAGCATTTTGGTAACTCCATAATAAACTAATTACTTATAAATTACATTAAATCGATATTTCAGTACCGCCTTGTGTGTCGTTAACAATGCATGCATTTATTTAACATTCCATACTTTTTTATGTAGGCTTTCGATAGTAATTTTGGTTAACCACATTTTTCACAATGTTTGACTGAAGAAATGTATAAATAGTCGACAAATAATCTATATAATGCACAAATACACAACAAGATAAAATGCTGTCTAAAGAACTTAAAATGTTACTAGCAATGAAGATCAGAGATAACAAAGAGGTTCTTCTTGGGAAACTTAGTATGTTTTAATTAGCAAACTGTTTAAATAAAAATTTGTATAAATGTATTATGTTATATTTTATATATATATATTTATATATATATATATATATATATATATATATATAAATATATATATTTATATATATATATATTTATATACAGATATATATGGATATATATATATATTTATATATATATATATATATATATATATATATATATATATATATATATATATATATATATATATATATATATATATATATATATATATATATATATGTATATATATATACAAATGCATGTATAGGTATATATATAGATATGTATGTATACATATATATATATATATATATATATATATATATATATATATATCTATATATATATATAAATATATATATATATATCTATATATATACATACATATATATATATATTTATATTTATATATATATATAATATATATATATATATATATATATATATATATATATATATATACATACATAAATATATATATATATATATATATATATATATATATATTTATGTATATGTATATATATATTTATATGTATATATATATATATATATATATATATATGAATATATATGTATGTATATATATATATATATATATATAAATATATATATATATATATATATATATATATATATATATATATATATATATATACATACATATATATATATATACACATATATATACATATATATATATATATATATATATATATATATATATATATATATATATATATATATATATATATATATATATATATATATCATATTTATTATTTTACTATATAAAATGTATTGACTATTTATAATTTATTGATATTTTTCTTTCAATTTTAGGTCCATGTGTTACTATGAGGCATAGAAATGGAATTTGGGAAGAAATACTGTCAAGTTTAAATTGTCTAGGGGCTAAAATTGAAGATATTAACCAGCTACGTAGTAGAGAGTGGGATTATTTACGACGAGCCACAATACAAAAATTTGCTAAAAGTCTAAAAACAGGTTTAGTTTTATTATATATATATAAATATATATATATATATATATTTTAACAACAATTATAAATGTATTATATAAAATAGAGTGCTCAATGTTCTTAAAATAATCACATATGTAATTAAATATTTTTGTATATATATTTGTATATAAAATTTACAAATATATGTAGATGTATATATATTTTTTAAGGTGCTGCAGGAAGACAACTTACAGAGTTAGATAATGTTGTTTTAGACATTGTTGACAGGAAGTCTATAAATGTATCTGGAATTGATGTTCCAGATTTTAATATCTCTTTTTGTACAAAAGATGATGCTTTGTCATCTACTACCAACCAACTTTCCAGTTCCACAGCCATCTTTTCCCCATCAAGTAAAGAAGTAAACTTTACTTTGAAACAATCTTCTGATACAGCTTCTTTGTCTGGTATATCTTTATTTTTTGGTTGACTAGTGGTGTTATAAGATTTTATATATATATATATATATATATATATATATATATATATATATATATATATATATATATATATATATATATATATATATATATATATATATATATATATATACAAATTAATTATTTATTTTAGATACACGATTTGATCGTATGTCCTCCTCCTCCCCTCATTTAGACAATACCACTCTTGTTGGTGATAGTCGTCCAATGCTTCAAGGTAATACAATTTCTAGTTGTTTTTTTTTCACAATTTGTGCCAAATTATTTCACATCACATCAAAAACTGCTTATTTTTAAAGGAATCTAAACCATCTTTTTTATTATTTAAATTAACTGATCTGGTTTTGACACCTATAATTCAATTTTTAGATTCAACTCAAAATAAACCATCAATAGCGACATTAAAAAATTTAAAAAGAAAACAAGCTCGAGAAAGTCTCTTGGTAGATGGAAATTTCAAAAAATTGAAAGTTAGTGTTTTAGGGTTAGAAAAAGAAAGATTAGAAAAGGAACAAGAATTAAGAATTAAACTTTTGAAATTGGACGTTGCTCACAGACAACAGCAAATTCGAAAAGAAAAAGCTTTAACAATATATTACACAACAGCAACAAAGCTAATGAATGACAAATTGCAACCTTTAAACCAGCAACATTTTAAAAATATAGAAACGGTATTTTAAAATTAATTTATTGTAGTATTTAGTATCAAACTTTATAATTAATAAATTTTATAAATTATTTTTGTTGTTTTAGGAGGAAATTCTAGAGCATTAAGGGAAGAGCTATATCGTAATTTTATGTTCATTTTCGAAAGATATTGTATAACTATATTTAAACATTTACTTTGAAGGTATTTAACTGTAGATTTTTTTAAAGAAAATAAAAAAATAACTCCAACAATTGTTATTGTATTTATTATTTATCACCATTGCCTTACAGTAATAAATTCTGTAAAAACTGCATTAAAACCAATGCTGTTGCGATGTGAAATAGATACAAGCATTACAACTATACCACTACCGCATTTAAATAGCGAGTTCAATTTATGGTATCGCATTGGCTAGTAAACGATTTTATAATTTAAAGAAAGTAGTTCTAATAACTTTTACCTTTACCTCTAAATTCCCTTTCTCAACCCTTTTTTTCGAGTACTCAGCACTCAACTTAAGAATATTGTATGTATATACCAGATATTTGGTACAATATCTTTCATATTTTAAATTTAATTTATATTTTAGTTTAATATTAATTCGATCGTTTATCTTAATATTATGCTGTTAAGCAATTTTTATCTTTTTAAAATACTCTTAATAAGAATTGCTCTTAACAACAAAAACTAACAAACCTATTATTTTTTTAAGCTTGTTCTATAAAAAAACAAAATACAAATACTAAAAAACAATTATAAAATGCTTTTATGATCTAATTTTTATAAAATATCTTGCATTTGACAAAAGTTTTTTTAAATAATATTTTTAAGTAAAGTTGTAAAGTAGCTGTAATCGTCTATTCAAAGCGATATCATTCTGATTTTCTTGAAATATATTTTCATCAACTTGTTCTTCTATGCGTTCTTCAAAGTCATTACCGTTGTCTCCATGTCGAATACACAAGTTATGGATAACAAATCCACACATGATGAGCTTAGAGGCATCTTCGACCTTGTGCAAACGAATTCCCGTTTTCAAAGCATAAAACCTGTTTTTTATAATGCCAAAACACCGCTCGATTATGTTTCTAGTTTTTCTCTGTGCTATGTTGAAACGTTTTTGAGCTCTGCCTAGATCACTAGGAAAAGGTGGAATTAACCATTCTCGGCATGGGTAGGCAGAGTCAGCCAAAATTACAGCTCCATTAAATGGAAGCTCTCCAATTTCAAACTTGTTCCATAGGTTACAATTTCTTAGAACCTAATAGTGGTAAAATCACAATATTTAAATTTACTCTAAGTTACATTAAAATACATATCAGTCTTAGTTTTATTAGTCTTAATTAGCAATAATAGTTCGAATAGTATGTTTAAATATGAATATACCGAAGTACGTACTAGTTGAATAGCCAGCATTAGTGCACTAGCAGATGTAAAATATAATTTATTAAAAGACTTACGTGTGCATCATGCCACCTTCCTGGACTGTTGGTTGATGCATAAAATATGGATGTGTCGGGTCCACATACAGCCATTGCATTTATGCTATGGACATGATGGCGATTGATTAGAGAATCTTCGTCTGCGTTAGGAGGGTTAGAAATGAGTATATGAGACCCATCCAGGACACCACATACGCTAGGAAAACCTCCAATTTCCATAAACTTTTGTGGAAGAGTGGAGCAATCATTGGGCCATTTTATGATCTCTTGTCGAATCTAAATTGAAAAGATATCAACTTTTACCTTTACTCAACTTAGTTTATAATTTACCTACCAAAATAAAAGTAATAAGAAACTTTATATGACAACGTATAAATTTCACTTGTTTTATTAACTTAATACACATTACATTGAAAATAGCTTCTCCTACACTGTGTATAATACGATAAACTGTGTTGGTAGAGATTCCATGACAGTCTCTGAGAACATGAAAAAAAACATTTGTGCCGATAAAATGAAGAAATACCATTATCTGGAAACGTACTGAAATACTTTTATTTCGCTTAGTGTAATGTTGCAAATCATCTTTAAGCCTAGTTTCTAAAAAATCTAATACAGCTCTTGGGACTCGATACTGCTCTCGAAAAACGTTGTCAGAAACATCTTCGTTAAAAAAGCGACCAATAAACTAAAATGGAATAGAAAAACAAAACAAAAATATTATTTCTGCGTACATTTAGTATGTTTTCTAATTTAGTTAAAAAAACATCGAAATTTGTCAATTTTAAGTAATGTTTTAAACACCAACCTCTCGAGGCAATCGGTGGCGAAGCTCATTTTCTGCAATTTCCAAATCTAAGTCTTCATCCGAAAAAACTAAATCTATGTTCATATTATAATTTTACACAGTTCTTTTAAACACCAAATAGTAGAATGTACAAAAATTTATAGAAGAGGAATAGACAGCACAGCCTACTTAATAACTAATAAAAATTATTAAATAGGCAACGCATAATAGTAATTAAAAAAAATTGTTGTTATCAATGACGTTTACGGATAAATTAAAATTGTGAATTTAAGTGACGTATACGTTTTATACTCTATAGCATTGGCCGAATAAATTCTTCGTGTTTACGTCTTTTTTTACGTAAAAATAATTTACACAAAATATTGCGTTTTTAAGATAGATTTTTTTTCTCGAAAAAAACTTCGAATTATTTATAGCATTGGCCCCAGCTTAGAAAAAGCGTTACAGTCACAAAAACAACGCGCTTTCAACGTTGAATCAATGTCTGTTTTTGTATACTAAATCGCGGTAAATTGAAACGTTGAATAAGCGTTGAAATTGTAACGTAATTTAGCCTCTCAAAATAAAACGTTTATTCAACGTGGAATCAACTTACGCAAAAAGCCACTTTAAAAACGTTTCGAAGTATATGCTTTATCAACGTTAAAAACAAACCGCTTTTTAAACGTTACATTTTCAACGTTGAATAAGCGTATAAATTTAAACGTATCTTATCTTCTAAAAAAAAATGCGTTTATTAAACGTTGAAAATAAGTACGCAAATAATCGTCGCAAAGGTAATGGTTTATCAACGTTAGACATTAGCTGCTTTTTCAACGAATTTAAACTATTTGAAAAACAACACTTGTTCAACGTTATTTCAACGTTGGTTGAAAATGTGCTAATTAAAAAACGTTGAAAAAGTGTTACTTTGCCAACGTTAATAAAACGTTGTTTTGACAATGTTGAGGAAGTGGCACATTAAAAATTATTGTCTCAATAACTAGCCATTACAAAAATAGTTTGCC